CTCCTCTTACCCCAAATGTGACCCCCCAAGGGCTCCTCTTACCCCAAATGTGACCCCCAAAGAGCTCCTCTTACCCCAAATGTGACCCCCAAAGAGCTCCTCTTACCCCAAATGTGACCCCCCAAGGGCTGAGCCTGGTGGGGACTGAGCAGGATCAAAACCCCCCTCTAAGCCCCGCTCGGCTTTGCTACCCGAGAGCAGGGAAAAAGTGGGATTATTGCTCCTGAAATCCCCTGGAACAGCTGGAATGCACAGCTGCCAGCTCCCAGAGATGTCTGGGAATACTGGGCTCACAGGGAGGAAACCAAGAGGGGAGAGTGCAGACAGGAAAAGCTGCGGATTCCAGGGTTTTTTAGGAAGCAGAGCACAGTTTAAGCTGGGATTTGGGGACCAAGGGGGGACCAACAGGAGGTTCTGGGGCAAATCCAGGATTTAGGGAAATTCAGGAACAATCACAGCCCAATTATCTTTTTTTTTAACTTGGCTCTCCAGAGGTAAAATCCCTGATCAGGATTTCACTGTGGACAATCCCTGATCCAGGATTTCCCTGTGGGATATCCCTGATTTTGCTGTGGGATATCCAACATATTCCAATTTCACGAAATAAATTAGAAATGAGATTGGATAAAATGAAATCAAATCCAGTTCCTTGCAGTGAAATGAAGCTTTAAGGAATGAAAGGAAAAGTTGGAATTTTGGTTTATTTTGTGGATCAAAATCAAATCAAGACTTGGGAATTGAGAGAAGATTTAATGGAATGAAATAAAACCAGATTTTTTGGAAGGAAATTAAATTGAATAAAACAGAATGAAGTGAAATAAAGGTTCATTTCATTGAAGGAAACTAAATGGAAATTAAATGGAATGCAATCAAATGCAATCAAATAAAATAAAATTTCAGGAATTGAAATGAAGTTTAACGAAATGAAATTAAATAAAATCAGGTTTCTTGAGATGAAATGAAACAACAAAATGGGATGAAATGAAGGGGTAGACATTTCATTTTGTCTCCTTAAAGAGAATTAAATGTGATTTCATAAAATTAAATGACTTTAAATTGAATTTCAGGAATTGAGACGAAATTTAAAGAAATGAAATCAGATTCCTTGAAATGAAACCAAACGAAATGAAGAGCTGAAATTTCCCTTCCTGAAACTGAAGATCATTTCCTGACAGAAAATGGAATTTGTAATTCCAAACAAAGCCAAATCCAATTGCTGGAAGTGGAATTTAACGGAAGGGAGAGCCGACTTTTTTTTTATTTCACCAATAAATTCTTTCTGTGTTTGGGGTTTGAAAGGGAAAAAAAACCCCAAATCCAAGTTCACCAAAGGAAATGGGATGAAATGAAAGCCAGATTGGGTGGATTGAAATGAAAATAAGAAGTGATGGGAATTTAATGAAATGAAAATCAGATCGGGTGGATTGAAATGAAAAATAAGTGATGGGAATGGAAAGGAAAAGCGGACATTTCATTTTAGTTCGTGAAAATAAAAATGAATAAAATAAAAAAATTTAAAAAAAAAAAACAAGAAAAAACAAACAAACAAAAAAATCCCAAACCCACAAATGAACAAAAAAAAAACCCCTAAAAAAGCAAACCCCCCTGGGATTTCTGGAGTGCCCTGGAGCTGGGGCCGGCCCTGGCTCACCTTGTCCAAGGAATAGGCTGTCCAGGACGTGCCCCCTCCCAAGATGTAAATCCTCTGCCCGTCGTGGGCCATCTCGTGTCGGTACCTGCAGCAGCAAAGCACCCCCAGATCCATCAGGGAACGGACAGCACAAACCTCTGGAATGCCAGGCCAAGGAGCAGCTCCAGGCCTGGCCCTGCCTCACCAGGCCCTGCGAGGGGTGGGATTTGCCCCGGAGTGTGGAATTCTGAAGGACCTTTCCCGGGAGCACCACGGGAGTCAAACCCAGAGATTTATGGAGCACCAGGACCCCACATCCATCAGCATTCCAGCCCTTTTCCCAATACCTGAGTGGCCAAGGCCAGGCTGGAGCAACCTGGGCTAGTGGAAGTTCCCCACCCACGGCAGGGGGTGGGATGGGATGGGATGGGATGGGATGGGATGGGATAGGGTGGGATGGGATGGATCTCATGGGGGGATGAGAAGCTCCAGGGTGGAATGAGATGGCTCTCCAAGGTCCTTCCAACCCAACCCACTCCACTCCACGGCTCTGTGATGACCTCCCTGCCCTCCTTTGCCATCATCCAGGATAAACCTGGGATCATCCTGGGATCGGGATCGCCAGAGCTCCAGATGGGGGAGATTCCCAAGGCCTGGTGAGCTCCCCGCTCCAGCAGGGACTCCAGGGAGTGCAGGTGTGTATCCCAGGTGTGGATCCCAGGGAGTGTATCCCAGGAGTGTATCCCAGGAGTGTATCCCAGGTGTGTATCCCAGGAGTGGATCCCAGGAGTGGATCCCAGGGAGTGTATCCCAGGAGTGTATCCCAGGAGTGGATCCCAGGTGTGTATCCCAGGGAGTGGATCCCAGGGAGTGGATCCCAGGAGTGTATCCCAGGAGT